TAAATACTATTAAAACTTATTCCGAAAGTAATATGTCACACTACAATTCTTAAATTACATGACCACTAAACTTATTTATTTATGAACAACTCATGCTACATAGATGAAAAGAATCCGATCACGGATTCTGTTTCCGAACAATTGCCAAGCAATTATCGACAGGCCTTGGATGTGGAAGGTGCACCAACGGGGATTTTGGGTTAATCCTCTCCACTCTGCAATATCACAAATAAAATGATCGTTTAATATGTATTCTATTTAATTAATAAAGAAAGAGCAAGTAAATGATAAATTGTTATTTCTAAGAAGTTGAAACGAGATTAAGGTTGCAAGATGATTTACTCATATCCAAGGACAAAGTAGTGAAGAGTTATTGCAATTTCGAGCTTGGCAAGATCATTTCCGGGACACAGCCTGCTTCCTGCACCGAAAGGGACGAAGCTGCAAGGTTTCGGAGTGTATCCCTGCAAACAGTTGAAGTAAAATCAATATAAAAGATTCTACTATACTTGACTTGATATTGATAGACATATGAATGCATACACGAAACCATATATACGCTTAAGCAGTAGAATTTAACGTACCTCCCATCGGGAAGGGTTAAACTCCTTTGGATTCAGATAAATTTCAGAATCCATGTGAACGTTTCTCAGCCAAGCAAGAGCTTTCCATCCCTTAGGAACTAGATAACCTGAATCAAATTCTCTCATTTATTCAAGTGATTCATATAATCTTAACTTTGGCTCTATAAATTTCATGAAATAATAATTTCAGGATAAATATTTAAGAACATATATTTACTAACCGTTTATATCGACATCTTTTTTTGCCACACGAAAAACCACAAGTGAAAATGATACATAACGAAGGGTTTCATCAATCACCTTAATAGAATAAATAAAGAATCTATTAACTCACGATTTAAATACTAATTAGTTATATTTGAGAAGAATTTGATCAATAAAATTGATTGATATTATATCGTATACCTGATCAAGATATTTCATTTCTCGAATTTCCTTAAGATTCAAACCCTTTTGTGTAGGTGGCCTTCTTTTCACTATCAACTCTGCCTCTTCCTTTACGGCAGTAAAAAAGTTCAGTAAAAGTGAAAAATTAGTTGTCATGGAAGGAAACATAAATTTGCATTTCGTCTGGTTGCCAAGCAGGTTCAATTGTAAGTAGAAAAAGTAAACTGGAGTACCTTATTCACCATCTTTTGCATATATGTGTAGTATATAAGTAAAGCGTATATGATTTCTTACATACCTTAGCTTTCTTAAAAATCTCCGGATGTTCTTGCATCAAAATAACAGCCCACATCATGGTATGCCCAGAAGATTCATGGCCTGCATTTAAGTACATCAATAAAATATCAATTATATCTTCATCATCCAGTTTGTTTCCCTTTTCATCTTTGATGTCTAGAAGATGGTCCATCATGTCTTTCCGTTTCGATGCAATGTTGTTCCTCATTTTATTTCGTCGATCATTCACTACCGATTTTAATATAGCCACAAGCGTTTTCCTTGCCTGAAAAATAACAATATCTTACAACATTATGAATTATAGAAATGAAGATATAAGTAGATTATAATATGAACATATAAACAAAGATTAGAGAAATTTGTGAAAAGCGAAACCTTGAGAGATCTATGGAAGGTAAATCCAGGAATATTGATGGCCATTGCTCTAATTCCATAGTTAAGTGCAGTATATTCTTTCTCCAAGACATCCATAACAGCTTCACTCACTTCGCTAAGAAAAATACGCATGATGATCCTGAAAGTGAGTTTTCGAAGTTGAGTTAAAAGTTGGACTTCTCCCATCTTCGACAATTCTTCGAGTGCATTCACTGCAATCTCTTCTATATACTCCAAGTAAAGGCAGAGAGCATCATGGCCATTAATGGGAGCTGTAGTTAACTTCCTGAGACGTTTATGATCCTCATAAGATATCGAAACGAATGATTTCTTTCCCATAAGCTCCACTGTGGCTTTTGGCCAACCAGATGTAAAGGCATCATCATCTGTTAACACTCTCTTTAGTGTTTCTGGTGTTGTAGCTATCACACTTGGTTGCCCAAACATAAATGTTTTATACAATCCAGTACGTCCATATCTGTAATATTTAAATAAGATATTAATAATATATATATATATATAAATGTAATATGATAATTTAAAAGTTTTGTGCTTCTAAAATTGTTACTGATTCATCACTTGACTATGTTGCAATTTAGTTATAAAATTTTTCTCATATATAATTTGTCCTGTACTTATAGAATGGTTTCTATACATAAATTTTTTACTAAAATTTTGTGCATAAACAATAAAAATTCTTTTCTTATTATTCGAGTAAAACAAAAACGACTTAAAAGTAGAATATTCTAACTTAAATCGATCTATTTCAATATAAACTTAGATTTGATTAAATTAATCTGATTTTTTTTACCGATTAATTCATTCATATAATCAAAATTATATAAAGATTTCATTCAAAGAATATCAAAATTGTGAGTGACAATGCTCATATAAAAGAGCTAAAAAAATTAGGTAGATTATAACAATACCAAACACATAAAATTTATCTAAATAAGATATACGCTAATTTATAAACTAAAAAATAATAGAAAAAGTTAACGAAAAAAATTGGTACCTTTGGACAAGATTGTTGATAAAAGAATCAGGATTAGACGACTTCATATCTCGAAGAAAAGTCCACATGGTGCCAATCAGAGGCCAACCCATATCACCTGGAGGTAGAGCGTATTGTTTATCCCCTAACTTTGACTCATACAACCACCAGTTAGCTCTCTTCATCAACCATTGCAGACATATCAGACCCACAACTATGCATAAAGCCGTCATCCAAATCGAACTCACCTCATCTATCTTTGCTGAAATCGAAGCCATCAACTCTCTCTCTCGCTAGTTTTCGACTTCGGATCTTTTATTTCATAGATATGTATTTGTACTTATGAGTCATTACTTATATATATAAAGTCTAAAGTAAATTCAATGAATGTAGATAATGATAAAAGATGACAACTGTCCGTCAGAATGGATAAATCAAGAAAAGGAAAGTAAGAAAATTAAAAAAAGAAAAAAATCATATTTGTTCTTAGATGGTATATGCATTTAGCTTAACATGGCACCGCCTTAAAAAGCTTAGGTATTATAACATATTTGGTTTTCTCCTGTAATGATTTAAATTTTTTAACGTTTCTTTCCTCACATTCATTGCTTACTTAAATGCTATATCTCTTTGAAGGATGTCTTTTACAACACATCATTTGACTCATCTATATACAACTTAATAATTAACAAGGTCCATATGTTGGGAGATATTTAAGTGTAATGAGATATATATATATATATATATATATATACACTGTCCATGAATCCATTAATTAATTTGGCATTTTAATATTACTATATCATAATTGCAAATGATATCTTGATTTAAATTTAAACATTTAAATATCATTACTTTATTTATTAAAATATTTATTTGATTAGTTTTCTTTTTTTTTTTTTTTTGACCGAATTAATTAGAACATTGTACCATTTTAGTAGTAATTTATTATAATAGTAATTAGGGGTACAACTAAATATAACGCATTGAATGTATTTGTAAAACAGTAAGGGTATTTATACCCTGAGTTAAAATATGTACACATGTAACAACTCTATCCACATAAGAGGGCCTTAAGTGTAAGTATTAAGTCAACTATATATTAATTAATTGTAATATTCTCTCTCAAGATGGATTATGAATGTCAAAAGCAGCCATCTTGGATGCAAATTGAAAGGAAAGACTAGAAGGCAAAGTCTTGGTGAATAAAAATTCGGGATGAATTTGATTACGTTAGATTAAAAATAATCACAAATAAAATGATAATCAATTTCAATATGTTATATATTTTCATGAGAAGTTAGATTATAAACAATATAAATAGCAGATTTATTGTCACACAAAAAAATTAAAGTGGAAAAAAAGATAAGACATCAAAATCTTCTAAAAGGTGACGGATTTATATTATTTTGCTGGTAGTAAAAGCTAATAATCCATACTCAGCCCCAATCGATGACCAAAAAAAAAAAATAGTATGCTTTTGAATTTTCAAGAGATAAGAGACTCGCTGAGAAAGTTAAAAATCAATGAGAAATTTTTTGAAATCCATGCAAGAATCTCGGTCTTCATCCGAAAAGGCTTTTAGCTCTAAAGAAGAACTAATAAGAATAATTTTTGCCCAAGGTCTGACTTGAATATCTCAACAAATAGTAAGATGCTTGCAAGTGAAGCTGTCGTGGCTTGGCAACAAACTCCAAAATCTTATTAACAACGTAGGTGATGTATGGATGAGAAATGACCATACACAACAACCTACCCACCAGCCTTCTATATTAAGCTGGGTCAGACGTCAGTTCTCATCAACACCCAATGAAGCTTCGGGAGATTTGTTGATTTAGCAGCTAGGAGACTTGCGAAAGGGCATAATACCTTTGAGAAAGATTGATGTCCTGCTTAGACCTTGCAATTTCAAAGAACCAGGATCTTTTAACTTGGATTGAGTATAAAGGAAACTTTTAACAGTTTGAATAATTTTTTAAAAATGGCTAGTGATCGCAGTATTATCCACGCACATCAAAACGACAACGAAGTACTTATTACATCTCTTAGTGAATAAAAAATAATCTAATCTAGATAGAGTAAAACCAAACCTAACTAGGGTAGAAGAGAACTGTGCATTTAATTTTCTTGAGGCTTGCTCGAGACCATATAATGGATTTATGCAGCTAGCAAACCATCCTTGAACCAGACTGATCAGGTATCTCCACTTGTTTACCATAAACAAGAGATTTATCCATACACGTTTCCTCAAATAAATCACCATTGAGGAAAGTGTCATTTTTATTCATTAAATGTTTGAGTGTATGACAGGAAGTTAACATTGAAGAACCTTAGAAAACAAAATTGTTTTAAGAAAATCAAATTGTCTGCATGTTAAGGAGTATTAGTGTTCAATTCATCAACGTTTAAATTTAGGTCTTGAAGTTAGTAAATAATTTGGATAATTATTTATCCTTGAATTATTTGAGAAATAGATATTGAATATTCACTTGACCAACCCAAAAAAAAAAAAACAAAAAAAAGAGGAGCTATTGGTGGAAATATGAGTGAGTTATGTAATTTCTGTTCGACCAAGTTTCAATTAATTATGACATTTTAATTACAGATCAACCTCTATATATATATATATATATATATAACAAGCAAAGTAACATAAACAAAATATACTAGGATAGATAGATAAATAAATAATAAAAGGAGAAAAAAAGAAAAAGAAGATCATTTAGAATATAAGAATGACCATTTGCAATTACCTTAGCATGAAGTTGAAATGAAGACCCCTTGAAAGAGAGTAATCGTCTAACAAGAATTATTTTTTTTATACATTCTCTATCCATAAATAAAACTTTGGAAACTTGAAATCTCTAAAAATGTGTCTAATATGGTCTCGTTTTATAGCGTACGATTTTATTTCTAATAGAATTAATGATGGTTTTAAAACTTTGAAATTTATAATGCTTGCAAAGTTTTATCTTATATTATCTAATTGTAATATTTCGCATGAGATAATTTAGTGTTAGTAAATATAATTGAAAATACATTACGGGAGTAAGTTCGAGAGGAGACAAATGGTCTGAATGCCCCCAGTGCGAAAGAACTAAAAGAAAAGAAAAAAATAAGTTTAGAAATGAATTCGATACGATTGAGAAGTTAAAAGAACATATATTTACAATACGATTTGATTTTTCTTTATTGTATTTTCTCCAATGCTTATACATGTATTTATATAAATATTTGATAAAAAAATTATGGTTTATAGATAAGAACAAAATCAACAATTATCTATATAAATGTATCATTACTTTTTTTTTAATGATTAAACCATTAAATAAGATTTTAAAAAAAATTTTAAATTAAGAAGGCAATCATTATATTAAGATGTCAATGATCTTCGGTAGATAACATTTGAACAAATCCAAATTAAGGATTAAAACGATAAATTTGAAAGACCATTTAACTTTTATTACAAACACAACATCTTTCCACTATAATTCTTACATCTCATGATCATTTTATTTAGAAGCAATTCTCCCATCTTCCCTCCTCAAATACTTCTTCTTTATAAACATCTCCCTTACAAAGATGAAATCATTAGTTCAATTTCTTGATAATCGCCAAGCAGTTATCAATAGGCCTTGTATGGGGGAGATACCTTAAAGGGGATTTTGGGTTAAGCCTCTCCATTCTGTAACATGAAAAAACTCAAATGGTCAACTTAATATGTATGTTTAGTTAAAAAAAACAAAAGGTATAGAGCAGGCGAACAAGTTGAAATATTTTTCTAAGTAAATAAGGTTAATGTTGCAAGATAACTTACTCATAGCCAGGGACAAAGTAATGAAGAAATATTGCAATTTCAAGCTTCGCAAGATCATTTCCCGGACACAGCATGGTTCCTGCACCAAAAGGAACGAAACTACAAGGTTTGGGTGTGTGTCCCTGTAAACCATTATAAGTAGAATCAACTTAAAACCATATTGTACTGGCAAGTGATTCTAAAATATTCATATTATACTGACAAAAACATGGTATACAAGCACAAGAGAAAGTCGTCAAGTTACCTCCCATCTTGAAGGATTAAACTCCTTTGGATTTGGATAAATTTCAGGATCCATATGAACACTTCTAAACCAGGCAAGAGCTTTCCATCCCTTAGGAATGAGGTAACCTAAATCAAATATTCAAATTTAATCAAATAGTTAAAGTGATCTTAACTTTA